GGGAAAGCCAAATTTAAGTCCAATGACACAGGTGTGAAAGACTTCATTGCCTGTTATGAATCCCTTGAGCCATTTTTATCATTGCTCCTGATGTGAAGTTAAAACTAACTTTCTCAGGTCAAAGGGTAGTGGGCATTTTTAGTGCACTATATTTTTCTTTCAGAATCTAGAAAGTTTTCCATTAAGAATGTATTTTTTTAATTATTAAAGGCCCACTATGACCTTTTATTTTTCTTTTTGCAAAAGTAGTATTCCTCAAAATAGGAGTGATTTTATATTCTAGCTCATATCTTGTTGGTAACAGCATATAACTGTGGTCTATAGACATGTAAGATTTTAAAATGTTACTCAGTGAACTCACAGATTAGGCTCCATACTATTAAATGTACAAAATCCTTCATAAAGGATAAATCCAACTGCAATCTCATAAATACTATACAAAGCATTTTATCTATCTTTGTGAAGCTTAACTTATTCTCCCAATGAATTGAAGTACCTTTTTGAAGTATTCTAAACATATTTTCCTCTAGCACAAATCATATTTTAAGTTTTCTTAAGGCTGCAATCTTGTATTGAATTTCACAGCCTGTTTAGTATTCTGTGTAAATCCTACTCAGTTGGGCCGAGACTTGTCATAATCAGAGTTGCCATTGACATCTGTGGGAACTAAAGTAGACATGCATGCTACTGTATTTTCCCTGTATAAGACACTACTTTTTCTTAAAAACATTTACTTAAAAATGGAGGTGCGTCTTATACACGGGGGGGAGGGGGGAGAACCATGGGAGGACCGCGGGGGGGGGACTGGCGCGATCGCGTGTGTGCAGGGGGGGTGGCAAGGCGGTATGTGCATGCGGCAGCAGCTTGCTCGCTGGAGATGGGTAGGAAAAGTGGGGGGCATCCTATACATGGGGGCGTCTTATAGATGGAAAAATATGGTAATTTCACAGAGTGAATCCAACCCACTGAGTTTGCGTTATTCCTGGTCAATATGCATAGGATTGCAGTTTCTCTCAAGGCAACCTGAACAGTTGACTGGAAATGTCCAGTTTCTAAAAACAATATACTAAAAGATAGTACTTTTATTCCACAGCTCCTTGCAATCAATTACTATACTTAATATTATGAATATTTAAAAAACAAATTATTTGCTTCAGCAGCTTTTCATTATTTGTAGCAAATTTACTGAAAAAAGAAGGTATCAGTATGACTCCCTGTATAAATACCTAATAGATTTTAATAGGACCATAGCAAAGAAACTGCTATTGGTACATCTGAGTAAGTGTATTCAAATCTCCAGAGCCACTCAAATATGGAATAAGATTTAGGTAACAAAAATGAAACTACCTTGGGATAAGATACAGTGATACCATCACCAAGAGAATATACTACACATGGTTGTTTTATTCTTTAAAATAATCTGACTAAATTCTCTGAAGATGTCCATAAACTTGCAATGACAGGAAATCTTTTAAACATTTTAGATTTTCAAAAACTTTAGACAAGATCCGCAGTGAAAACATTTTAATCAAGGAGTAATGTGCAACTTCTTGTGGGTCAGTAATTGGTTAAAGAGAGGAAACAGGTATAGGACCGAAGAGGTATTGCAATGGAGAGATGGAGCGGAATCTCTAAAAGCAGGGGGTGCAAAAAGTACAGTTTGTTGGCCACAGGTGGTGCTCCCCAAGCTCTGCCGGCAACTATGCAGAAAACAAGGAAAATGCCCTGGGCTGTGGTTTCTGTCATAGAAACCTTTCCTAAATTAATACTAGAGTGTCCCGGGAGGTGGTAGTTGAAGGTGTTTGCCTGCTTCCTAGGATGGTGCAGCAACAGGACTTCTGTGAAAGGATGCATACAGCCTCTTCTAACAACATTCCAGTTAGCAGAGTATGCAATGTATCTATGTTAGATCTGTCTTATTTATGAATAACGTACTGGAAAATCTGAGGGTGCAAAATTTGCAGGTGAAACTGATTGATTTGATATGGTGAAAACCCAAACAAATATGACATTCTCTGGAGTTTTCTCCCGAATGAATGAATGAATGAATGAGCAACAACATGGCAAATGAGATTCAGTGTCAGTGCAAATAATGTACACTAGGGTATTCCCACTCTTTCAACAACCAAAACATATTCAGCTATGGCCATTTTCAGTGAGAAGGCTCACTGAAAATGTTGAGCTCTGTGGTAGAAAGAGTTCTTGCTCTTGGGGATGATGGGGATTGAAAAAATTAAGATTGCTGTATCACAGACTTCCAGAAAGGTGTTCAACTGGTGCAACATCATGTGGAGAATGCTGCCTCCTGAAACATGTTCACTGAGAACTAGACCTTTGGTGACCAAAGGGGAGCACCTTTTTTACACAGTAAATGCAAAAGATTGTGTGATGTATTCGTTCAGAATGAATATCAGTGTCTCACAATAATGAGCAGTACGAAAAGAGAACATACTGTGGAAATTATGATCTCATAATAGAACTGAGAATCATCCAAAGAAACTGATCAGCAGTAAATTTAGCACAAACAGACAACAGAACAAACTTCTGTAAGTGATTACCTTGGAGTGATGCTGGGATGGTTCTAAAGATAAAAGAGACAAAGCTATAGAGAGCTATCAGCCACTCATAGCCCCAAGTAAATGGGAGCTTTGTGTGCCAAACTGTGCACTACAGAATACTAGTTGCAGGGAACAAGCTACTGAATGATCATCCTCTTCATGCTCCTCTAACAAACTTCCAGAGGCATCAGGACTGCTTGGGTTAGAGTTCTGCAATAGCAAGGCAATGTTCCACAGAGTAACAGTTTTGCTGGAGGAGAATCAAAGCATCTAACTGTGTTTCGGCATAGTCCATGGTCTTCATGCAATGACATTTTGAAGTGACCTTATGCATACATGGGTGGAGAGATTGTTTATCCAATTGTTTATCCATGTAACCTTTTCTGGGGGAAAAGTGTTCAGTAGCAGCCTGCTGATCCTCTGCTTTATCAAAGACTGCTTTAAAAATAGATGGGAACGATAGGTGTAATTGCATGCCTTGTCCAGTTTAGGTCATGGAGTGTGACTGGTACACTGCATCAACTGTGGAAAATGCCCAAACCCTGTTAGTTTAGTAACCACACCAACATTAAATGAAAAACTTCTTCACATTCTAGGTAGAATCTGCAAAATCCTATACAGACATTTCCATTCATTTTAAACACCAGGAGCTATTTTATGCCCAAGCTCTGAAGAACTACTTGATGCATGCCAAAGAGTTTAGTCCTACTTGCTGAATCTTTTACTTCTCTTGGAACAGCATGGCATTTTGTTTTTTGTTTCAATCCCTTATCTTGTGGGAGACCTGGTTGTGCATTTATATGCATTGTGTAATGCTGCTTATTTTTCTAAATATTTTTTAAAGAGGAGTGTTGTAATTGTATTAATTCAATCCCTTAGTTTTACAATTCAGCCTTTAATGCTGGAAAAATACTGTTTACATTGCTGTAATTATATTAGCAATGTTACATTATCTTGAACACTTCTAGTAATAAAGATGACTAATAATTGAAGTATGCAGGTAGCGCAGTGGTTTAAACCGCTGTGCTGCTGGGCTGGTAGATCGAAAGGCTGCTGGTTCGAATCTGCACAACGGGGTGAGTTCCCGTTGCTCCGTCCCAGCTCCTGCCAACCTTGCAGTTTGAAAGCATGCAAATTCAAGTAGATAAAAAGGTACCATTTCGGTGGGCAGGTAACAGCGTTCCATGCACTTCGGTGTTTAGTCATGCCGGCCACATGACCACGGAGACTGTCTGCGGACAAATGCTGGCTCCCTCGGCTAGGAATCGGAGATGAGCACTGCCCCCTAGAGTCAGGCATGACTGGACGTAACGTCAAAGGGAAACCTTTACCTTTATTCTATACATATCTGGCAATATGTCTTTTTGAGCTCAGCAAGACATCTGAGTAGCATGTAAAACAATGTAATTACATGGCAAAAACTTTAATTGGAGTGCATGCAAATGCATTTTTGAATGCACATTCACTGTCAGTGTTTTTCTAACTTAGGAAATTAGCTTTTCTTAGCTGGGAGTTTTCAGCCCTTGAAAGCATTGGGGATTCTGCCAAAGGAGCACTTGGTCTTAAGCAATGATTGGTAACTTAAACTTTCAGGGATAATTTATATTATGAGTGGGAATGCCCCATAATACAGTAGTATAATTTTGGAAGATGTCTTTTATCTCTCTTGATTTCCCTACCAGTGAAACTATTTAATTTCAATTAAAGCTAGAAGGCAGGTTTCTTTATTCACACTTATTAATTGCTTAGCCACTGCAAATCCAGAAATAATTTTTCAAGACTAGTGATGCGAGATGAACCTATTTTATAGCAGAAAATAAAAATTAAGATACCAGGCAGATCACAGAATAACCCAACTTTTCCCACAATACATTCATGCTGGTGTAATCCATATTCTTCTACATCAAAGAAAAGAGAATCTGGTTCATATTTTGCACATTTCACACAATTCTAACCTCACTATAGTCAATAACAAATGCCCCAATGAGTTTAATGTGTCAGCGTTTGTAATGTTCAGTCTTACCCTTTCCATAGTTTGCTATTGTTGCATCACAAATATAGCTTTTATCATAAAATTGTAGTTATTTTAGACATGACCAGGTATGCAAGAAGACAGTCAATCATTTATAGTATTTTAATCTGTATCATCTCTATAAAACATTTATTTTAAACTCTATAATGAGATAGTAGAAATAATATAATCTTTGAGTGCACTTAAAGTACTCACCTTGGAAATATAACACATTTAATAAGACAAATCCTTTAATCCAAACTTTTGTTGACTCAGAATATTTTACTGTGGAAAAAAGAAAGTATCTGTAGGCTAGTTAGTCTTCAACCAAAACAAATTTTCTTTTGAAGTCAGTCCTCATTTTCCTAAAGATCATCTGGTGCATGGAAATACTTTATAAAAAAACATCTTGAGTCACTGGATTCGTAGATCTAGATTTGCTTGCATTCATGTCTGGTACACATAGCTTGCCGTTCAATTCGCCAAGTAACTTCTTCGTAAGTACAGTGGCATATAGTGCATTCATCAGTTTTCACCTCCCGACCTGCTGGAATGACTGTGGTCTCTGCAAAACAGTTGGGGCCTGAAATAGAAGAGGGGGGGTGACACTTAAGAAGAACTGTTTCATTTGAGCCATCCTCCATGCGTCTTGATGGTGGAAAGAAAATTGGGAGTAGGGTTTAGAGACTCAGCATGACACCCCTTCTATGCCATCAGGCTCATAGGGAGGACACCAATCACAATCTTTCAACCTGACATACAGCACAAAGTTGTAAGCACAAATGCTCTGTGCACTCAAACGTGCTGCTGGAGTTGTTTCTGCTAATGACCTTTACAGAGCCTCTGAACAGATTTTGAGGTCACTCCAAGTTTCCATTTTGCTTTGTGGTGAATCAGTTACTCAAGCGATTCACTAAGAACACATCCAGATTCTGGGTTAAGCAGGTTGCTTACCTGTAACTGATGTTCTTCGAGTGGCCATCTGTGCATTCACACATATGGGTGCTGCGCCTGCGCAGTGCCTAGGCTGGAAGATGAGAAAGCTAATGGTTTTTGGCAGGAAAAGACTCCACTCCCCTCCCCCCTATAGTATAAATAGAGCGGAGCGTCCGCCATTTTATTCAGTCTTGAAGATCAACCGCCCCCTTGCAGTTAAAGACGGTAGTACAATAAGCATCATTGGTACCGTAAGATAGGTGCGGAACCGATGAAAAAGCAATTCCACTCACCGACACCATGCGAGGCCAGCAGGTGGGTTGTGTGAATGCACAGATGGCCACTCGAAGAACATCAGTTACAGGTAAGCAACCTGCTTTTCTTCGTCGTGGCCTCTGTGCATCATACATATGGGTGATTAACAAGCTTACCAGACTTGGAGGAGGGAGGTGTCATCAATGAAGAATGGCGGAGAGAACTGCTCTACCAAAGGAACAATCCTGTCTTGCACGTACATCAAGCCAATAATGCTTGGCGAAAGTACATGGAGCAGCCCAGGTTGTGGCTCTGCAAATATCCTGGATCAGAACACCTGCCACAAAAGACAACAAAGTTGCAACTGCTTGCGTAGAATGGCCTCTTGGAAGCGTAGGTAAGTCCATCTTTGCTAGTTGATATGCCAGAACTATGGTCTGGACAATCCATTTAGACAGTCTTTGAGATGTGACTGGAGAACCCTTGTCATGATCAGCGTATTTAACGAAGAGTCTGTTAGAATTCCGGAAGGATTCTGTGCGAGACCTATAGAAAGTCAGACAGCGTCGAACATCGAGAGTGTGGAAAGAGCGTTCAATTGGAGTCGATGGGGATGGAAAGAACACGGGCAATGCAATGTCCTGATTCAAATGAAACAATGTAGCCACTTTAGGAAGAAACATTCAATCCATCCGAAGGACGACCTTTTCCTTATGAAAATTCAAAAATGGTGGATCTATGCGAAGAGCACAAAGCTCACTAGCCCTTCTGGCGGAGGTGAACGCAACAAGAAAGGCAGTCTTCCATGATACTAAACGTAGATCCACCATTGCCAAAAGTTCAAATGGGGGCTTTGTAAGCACTTGGAGTACAACAGAAAGACTCCAAGTTGGCATAACAGGACGGACTGACAGGTGTAGGTTCTGTAGTCCTTTTAGAAAACGGCAAATCATAGGTTGAGAAAAAAACGCTAAACCCTGTATGTTGCCCCGGTAATGTGAAATGGCAGCAGCGTAAACTTTTATAGATGACGGTTTAAGTCCCGAATGGTGTAATTCAAACAGAAATTGTAAAATGTTCTCAATAGAGGCCGATCCTGGAGAAAAAGAATGGCAGTCGGCAAAGAATGAGAATCTTCTCCATTTCGCCATGTAAGATCGACGCATAGACGGTCTTAGTGCAGATTCAAGAATCGCTTGGATATCAGGATGTAAGACCGTTGGTCCCAAAACAGTTCTTGACGGTCCTGAAGGAAAAGTCGGTCGCGTACTCTGTTGAACTGAGTATTCGTTTTGTCGAGATGCCATTGGGATTGATAGAGCAGCTAAGTCCAGCGGATGTTGCATACTGTCAACTTCAGAGAAGCCAAGTCCGGGTGTCGGATCGCTCCGTTGTGCTGTGTCAACAAGTGAGGAACCGTTGGAAGCCGACAAAAAACACCTTTGGACTGGATGAGGAGAGTGGTGGACCAAGGTTGTCTCGGCCACCATGGGGTTATTAATATTCCTGTAGCGTTGTCTTGAACAATCTTTGATACCACCCTCATCAAAAGGGGGATCGGGGGAAACGCGTAGAAAGTCAAGTTGTTCCAAGTGATCATGAGGGCATCTCCCCTTAAGTCCTGTCCGATACCTGCTCTGGAGCAAAACAGTTTGCATACCCTGTTCTCTTGGGTAGCAAACAAGTCTATGTCTGGGTATCCCCACATACAGAACAGTTCGTCGCAAATCAGCCAATCCAACTCCCACTCGCAGGTCGTTGACATCTGTCTGCTCAGTGCATCTGCTTCCATGTTGTCGGTTCCTGCAAGGTGGACCACCAGTAGCATTATGTCCCTTGGGATACACCAATCCCAAATTTGCATGGACAATTGAGCCAAGAGAGGTGACTTTGTTCCGCCCTGCTTGTTGATGTAAAAAACAGCAGCGATGTTGTCGGACGCAATCTGGACAACTTGGCAGTGTATGACAGTCTCGAAGGATTTGACAGCGTTGAAAATTGCCAGAAGCTTGAGGAAGTTGGTGTGCTTCCTCGTTTCTTGTTGGTTCCAAGTTCCTTGGACCTGAAGTCCTGCACATGCCACACCCCATCCGATGAGGGATGCATCCGTGTACAATGTCACTGTCAGTTGCAGCGGTCCAAACGGAACGCCGATAGACAAATTGTCTACAGTAGTCCACCATGTCAAGGTATGAAGGATCGAAAGCAGAATCCGAATAAACTTGCTTTGCGGGTCCTGCTGCAGGTGAAACAATCTGTTGAGAAACAATTGCAGCGGTCGAAGTCTGAGTCTGGCATGGGGCACGATGGCAACTGAGGCAGCCATGTGTCCCAAAAGCCTCTGTATAGTGACAGCCTGTACTGTCCTGTGTTGTCAAATTTGATGAATATGAGCACAAAGAGTGGCTCGATGGGATGGAGGAAGAAATGCCCTCTGTAGGATGGAGTCGATACATGCCCCGATGAAATCGATGACCTGCGTAGGGATAAGTGACGATTTCTTACAGTTAATGCAGAGTCCAAGGTCGTCAAGTAAAGTACAAATCTTATGTCCAGCCGAAAGGAGGCTGTCTCTAGTCTGGGACACAATCAGCCAATCATCTAAGTACAGGTAGACTTGTATACCCTGAAGGTGTGCACACACCGGGGCCATACATTTTGTGAAAACTCTCAGGGCCATGGCAAGACCGAATGGCAGAACATTGAATTCGAATATATCAGGTCCTACAGTAAAACGCGGGAACATCTATGGAAAGGATGAATGGAGATATGAAAATAAGCATCCTTCAAGTCCAGTGAGGCAAACCAATCCCCTCTCCTCAGCAACGGAAGGATATTTTGTAAGGTGGTCATCCGGAACTTTTTAGGCTTGATGTATTTATTGACATCTGTTAGGTCCAGGATGGGACGAAGACCACCATCCCATTTGGGGACTGTAAAGTATCTAGAATAGAATCCGTGTAGCCCATCAGAGCGAGAGAGTTGTCGAATTGCTCCACTACGAAGTAGCTGGTCGACCTCATCGCATAAAATTGAAGAGGGCAGCGTAAATCGGATAGGGCTCGACAGTGGAACGATGTCGAATTCTATTCTGTATCCGAGCTGAATGATGGACAACACCCACCTATCAGATGTAATGGACTCCCCAATGGGGAGTCAGCTTTGAAGCCGGCTCCCAAAAGGGAGAGGGAAAGGTGGGAGGTGGAGAGATGGAGTGGCTCGCCAGGACCATCAACGAGGATGCTTTTCAGTATCGAAGCATTGACGGCCCTGAGAGAAGCGTTGTTGAGGCTGTTGCCTTCTATGCTGCTGCCTTTGCTGATATTGCTGGCGGGGTTGGTATTGTTAGCGTCTGTAAGGCCTGGACCATGGCCACTTACGTTTGTGTTGAGGGAGTTCCATGTGACGCGCTGTCATGAATGATTCGTGGATCGCCTTGAGCTTATGATCAGTCTTAGCATGAAAAAGTCCGGTACCATCGAATGGCATTTCTTCTATCCTCCTCTTCACTTCTTCAGGGAAGTTACAATTCCTCAGCCACGCATGCTGTCGAAGGGAAATAGCACTGACTATGGCCCTAGAGTCAGTGTCCACATGGTGTCTTGTGGTGGACAATTGTTGTATGGCCACTTGCATTCTGCATTATGAAGTACTGGTAACGTGCCAGCATAGCTTCGTAATTTGATATGCGTAGTCCGAGTCCCGCGGCCGCATGGACCCGCTGTGCAAGCATGTCTATCTTTCTCCCTTCCCTGTCACGGGGTGTTGTATGACCGCGAGCCTCTCTGCCCTGGGACGACTCAACCACCACCGGATTTGGCTTGGGGTGGCGTAGCAGAAACGGTGTATCTTCCTCTCTAATCCGGTACATAGACTCGTACCGGCGAGACGTCGCTTGTGGTTGGGCCAGCTGGTCCCAGGGCTGGACCATCGCCTGGTGGAGCGTAATGAGAGGTAATGCTACGGTTGTGGATTGTTCTCCCCGGACAATATCATAAAATCTATCGGTGCTGGGACTGAGGTGATGATGGGCCTCGATCTCCAGCGACTGAACCAATCAGGAGATGAGCTCCGAGGTGATATGAGGCTCGTCCGGGGATCCAGGGTCCTGGGAAGTGATGGCCACATCTGGAGATGTGGAGTCTACTTCCGACTCATCCAAGTCCTGGTGGTAGTGGTATTGTTCGCTGGAAGAGGAGGTCTCCAGGGACAGTGGAGGTCTCCTCTCTGCACACCCAGAAGTGGATGGCGCCTCCCTTGGGATGGATGCTGAATTACGGTCCCGTGGATAATAAGCATAGGGTTGGTATCCACTCCAGCCAGGGAAGCCACCATAGCCCAGTCATCCAATTGGCGTTCAGCTGAATGGCTTCTGCGCCTAGGTGGTGATAC